ATGATCCCGGGGTCCTGGGATCGAGCCCTGCATCAGGCTCTCTGCTCGGCGGGGAGCCTGCTTCCCCCTCTCTCTCTGCCTGCCTCTCTGCCTACTTGTGATCTCTGTCAAATAAATAAATAAAATCTTTTTTAAAAATAAATAAATAAATAAATAAATAAAAATACATTCTATTCATCAAGTCTGGTGTAAGACCCAGAGAGCTGAATTTTTACTACCAACCAGGGAATTGTACATAGTGCAACCTAAAGCCCTTTGATTTAGGAAGCACTGCTATACATTCCAGTTATGTGTGTAAGTGTCTCATTTTGCCTAGTTTGATCTTTATCTATATGTTTTACATTATGTAGAATGTAGATAAATGTCTAGATAAATGTCTATGAGGCATTAGGTGCACGGTTAGTCTATTCAATACACGAAGTAAAACTGAAAAAAAATAAAATAAAATAAAAAACCAGACACACAAAAGAAAGAACTGAATGCATTTTCACCACAAGAAAAAATGACCGTTAGGGTGCCTGGGCGGTTCAGATGGTTAAGCAACTGCCCTAGGCTCAAGTCATGATCTCCAGGTTCATGGCATTGAGTACCACATCAGTATCTCTGCTCAGCAAGGAATCTGCTTCTCCCTCTCTTTGTGCCTCTCTCCCTACTTGCGTGCTTTCACTCTCTGTCTCTCAAATGAATAAATAAAATCTTAAAAAAAAAGAAAGAAAAAGAAAAAAAACCATCATACATTCATTTATAAACGTTCGTCTTTTTAGAAAAAGCAGTGGAATGATTTAAAGGGACAAAAATGAATAAATAAGCAAATAAACAAGAAGATAAAATAAAAGTAAAAAGACCTCAGATGTGTATCTTTAAAACATCCACATCAGTAGAATACTATGTAGCTATAACAGAAGAATGAAGAAGTTCTTTCTATAGAGGGGTGTCTGGGTGGTTCAGCTTTTAAGCATCTGCCTTCAGCTCAGGTCATGATCTCGGGATCCTGGGATTGAGCCCAGCGTCAGGCTCAGCGGGGAGCCTGCTTTTCCCCTTCCCACTGCCCTCTGCCTGTGTTCCGCCTTTCGCTACCTCTATCATATAAATAAAATCCTTAAAAAAAAAAAAAAAAAGGAAAAAGCATAGGATATTATTATTACATCAGTAAAAGAACACAAAACAATGCATATATAAATAACTAGCTTTTGTGTGAAATAAATTAACTATCTTATTTGTGTGTGTCTTTCTAAATAGTAGAAAAGACCCAAGAAAATAATAAAAGTAGTTATGAGGGAGGATTATATGACTTACCCTATACCTTTTGAATTATTTTGGCTACTAAATAACATGAATGTGTTACCTACTGTAAAATCTTTTAAAATACATACAAGTAGTATATGATAAACCTATTAAGTTAATTTAATGTGTGTAAAATACATGTGTGTATCCTTTTTTTTAATAGAAAAGAGACAAGCAGACCGGCATGTAAATGAGCAGCTGGGCCCCTTACCTGCATCAAGTCTCGCCTCTCCCTCTCACCAGTGCAAATGGCTTTCTTAATATTTCGGAGCTCACTCATTATAGCCTGTACCTCATCCAGTTTGAAAGTGGTGCGAGCAGTTGACATCTTACGATCAATCCTTGTTAACAAAGAAAAATAAGAGTCACTCCACACTAGATCACATTTCCATTAAACAAACAAAAATGGCAAAAGCTTTGTAGAAAAGAGAGACAATAGGGAAAAAGCCTTTTTTCCTTGTGGGACAATAAAAAGAAGTGAAACTTGGCTGCACAGTTGAACTCCTTAATTCTGTGAGCATCTCACAGAGCTGAGGAATTTCCCAAGTGCAGAACCACATCTTCTTAGTTTATTTCCACTATGTAGGTTAGTGATCAAAAGTGTTTATTAAATACAAGTATTTGTATCTGTGCAAGCAGAATATTTTGGAAATACCTAAAAGTAGTAAATTTTTAATGACACCACATTGGCCAACTTAGAAAATTATATTATTTCCTCTGTATAATCTCTTTTATAAAATTCCAATTTATCATTGTGTCTCCTAATCACCTGGATCCATCTTTTCTTCAATCCCAATATACACAGTGTGTATTTTTCCCAGGTTTTTTCATCCTTTTTTTTCCATTTCTTTGTCTTTTCTCCATCACTCACTCCTCCTTTCTTTAGATTGTGTTTTTTTTTTTAATATCTGCCTGTGCACATGCACACATTCATTCTTCTTCCCTTCATTTATCCACACATATATTTATTCAAACTAGTTTACTTCGTCCCATCCATCTTCTTGTTCCCTTACTTCTCTCTACCTCCTACTTCCCCCTCCTTTCCTTCCTTCTCTCCTCTCTCCATTCCCCCTTCCCTCTCTCCTTCTGGCTAGTATACCCTTATACACACGAGGCACGGTCTGTGTGGTGGAAGCAGAGCACTGACCAAGCCAAGACTTGGCTCTGGCTCTCACAGAGCAGGCAGTCTCCTATAGCACACCCTTTTCTCACCTTCCCTACCTAGGTCTTGAGCCTTGGAGGCCCTCAGGGCCAAGGAGGCTTAAATACTTTAGTCCAGAAGCGGCATGAGCTTCTTCTCTAGAAAGCCATAAGCAGACCTTTCATATTCTAGACGCACCATTCCACAGGTCCTGACACGAAACTGTTTCCCCCACGTGACTGGGGAATCTGGATCCTCACTGACAACCAGCCTGCATTCCCTGATTCTCCGCTCAAGGAAGCATCCTGGCAGGCTGCTGAATACCAGCAAGACTCCAGGGTTATACCAGAACCCTGGGCAAGTCACTTCAACTCTTTATAGCTCCATTTAACATTCGCCCCATTTAAAGAGAAAATTTCAGGAGAAGGCCTACCTGGCAGGACGCCTTACATGTAATGTCTACAAGGATTATTCTGACTGTCAGGACAACACTGAAGCTGTGTATTCATGGGAGACAAAGTAAAAAACTCAACATCTCTGGTACTCTAACCCCAGAGTTGAACAATTGGCAACCTTGAAAGAGAAGGACAAACAGGAAAAGCAAGAAACCATTCCCTCACTTGGAATCAGGCCTTAGGGCTCAAAAGCATTGCTATGATTGCCTCAGCTCAAATGATATGTTTATGAAAATTAGTCCTGAATACTCTTCCATAGAGTGGATGCAGGTGCATCATGGGTCCCCACACATTCAACAATGACAAACTTACATCCCAACATGGCTTAGCCACATGGCTATTCTTCCATAATGTTTCTCAAACACATGTTACTGTGACATGTTTTTGTTCCTACAAAGCAGAAGGCTTTACTTTTAGATTTTTATTAGAAAGCACATTTTTTTTTTAACTGAAGACTGTTCCACACAAAGTGAGCATGAACTAAAACTTGTACTATGGAGGTATCTTTTTCTTGTTTCACTAAGTCCTGAATTCAGCCATTTTATTCAACAGTTCATGTAAATGCATCAGGTGGTAAGCTCTGACACTACATTACCTTTGTGTCATCAGAAAGTCCCTGGCACAGAACAAGCACTTGTGGCTATAGAAAACTGGGAGCCAACAGTGAGGATGGCAGCACTAGGCATACTGGCCCTTAATCATTTTAAAACTTTTACATGGTCCCTCAAAACCACACCCTCTTCCACCAAAATGACTGGATTTGTTCCTCACTACGAACCATTCGACACTTACAGACTTGTACAAATCAACTGCAGTATCTATAAGGGCTCTACCCTCTACTTTCTTACTCAGCACAACCTCACAACAAAATCAATGTAACTCATGCTAATTCTGCTGTGGAAGCACCTGTATAGCTGAGCAGCATGATGCAAAACGAATGGAACCAAAAGTCCAGAAAAAACTCCAAGTCCTAGCTCTCATGCAAGTTAACTGTGTCACCTGGAGAAGTCCCTGAACTCCTCGGAGCCTTGATGACTTCATAAAGATGCTAAGCATCCAATGGGGTTCCCAAACCCAACTAATCACCAGAACTATCTAGGTCCCTGATAGATATTCAATGCCTACAGACTCTCTGCAGGTACAACTAGGAGATTTACTAACCTACCAACTAAGTCCCAGAACCACTAGGTTGGAAGAGCCTCTTCTTACACTAATTATTTTAATCTGGTCCACCTTATAAAACTTATAATTAGACTGAACTCCATACTGTTAACACACTTCTAAATAGCCAGCAAGAGAGTAGACAGAGTTCTGTGATATGGAACTATTCTTTATAAAAGGACAAAGCAACACCAGAAATAGATAGGAATTCTGCTCCATCTCCAATCTAGAGGTCAGACTGGGAGTGAGATATCTTGTACAGGGCTGTTCATCCAGGAAATGTGGAACTCAAAGACATATGATGTAGGAAAACATAAAACTAAAAGAACAAGTGGTTTTCCGTTTGCACTGCTGTACAGATAATAAGAGTCTCTAACGCAAGGCAGAAATAAAAGACCATCCACCTCATAGCACTAGATCTCCAAAGAAGTGGTCCAAAATATCTTCATGAACAATCTGAATTTATTTACATAATAATGTCTCCTTTTACTTATCCTCTGATAAAGACGTATACACACACAAACACATATGTCTGTAATTCAATTTTATTTAATTTTTATAGTTTAATTTCATTAATCCATTGAGTCTGTAAGACTTTCAAACAAAACACCCAAAGCTAAGGAAATCTGATTTCTTTGTTATAAGCAATGACCAGCCCTTCTACTAACCAGGTCTTCTGCTCCTCCAGGATGAAAAATACTGCAAATAGATCATCATCTGACACTGACATTCACATGCAGAAATGAAACAGAACAAAACTTTTTCAATTGCTTGAAAATGAAAGCTAAGCAAATAGCCAAGAAGTACAGACACAAATAGGTAGTGTTAAGGCTATAATGTGAGCCACTACCCATGTCAGTTCTGCTTTATACTTAAGTTTTGTGACTTCCTTATGGCTTTTAGTAGCAATAAAGCCTAAATGTGGCCATCAGTAAATGCAGGGATTGAGATACCAAGTTCTACAATGGGAAAGGTTGTCAAGAGTCCAGATCAAGGCACCCTGTCAGGGCATCAGGTTCTATAATGGGAATGGTTGTCACAGAGAGAAAAACAGGCCATAAGTCCCCTCAGGGAGCAGGATCAGCAGCACTCATCCTGGGATTCATCCCATCAGCAGACACTGCAGAGCACTTGGAGAATGCCAGAAAGTTCAACTTCAAGGCCACGGACCTGCACTTTCACCTTAGCTCTATCCAAGTGGCTCTGAGACCTCAAACAGAATGCAGATTTGTCTAAAACAGCTGTTTCACTCTGTTCCAAGCATGTCCTGGCATAAGGATCAGGAACAGCTAAAGAGAGAGCCTGTCTAGGGCTTAGGGACCTCCCCTCTGTTTCAGCAGCACCTTCCCTTTGCTCTGTCTCAGACGTTCTGATTCTACAGAAGATATCATTTGCAGGAAAGGAAAAGGAAAGAGACTCCACTGTTCAAAAAGTATGAAAGCTCTCAGGGAACATGATCTTGAAGTCCTACTACTTCAGAGAGAGTATTATTTTAAAATATATTGTTAGCTAGAAATAAACCTAGAGAAAGAGGTCAAAGATGTGTCCCATTTCCAGGGTACAGTTACAACCAACAGCCATGTCCACAAAAAAAGCAATCCCAATAAAAATCATACCAGCATTTTTCACAGAGCAGTAACAAATGCTTCTTCAAAGAGGGAAGCCCCAGACAACAATCCTCTGAGGAGCAAAGGGAAAGAGGAGAAAGAACACCAAACCCAGAGGCATCCCAATTCGGAACCTCAGGCTAGTGACACATTGACAGTGTGGTCCTGGCACCAAGGGAACAGAAGGGAGAACTCGGACATGGACCCTTCACTTGTTGGTCAAGGAATCTTGGACAGAGCAGGAGAAAATGAATATCCAATGGACAAAAGATAGTCTCCTCCCCAAACAGTGGTGGGAACGCTGGACCAACGGCCACATGCATAAGGACGACTCTGGACCCCTCACTTTCTCCATACACAGAAATCCACTGAAAACGGACCAAAGACCTACACGGTACACAGGAATGTGGCAACATCCTAGAGGAGAAGGCAGGCAGCACCCACTTTGAGCTGGGCTGTAGCAACATATTGCTCCACACAGCTCCAGAAGCAAGGGAAAAAAGGGGACAGCAATTGTGCTAGTAGGTATCTACCCAAAGGATACAAAAATTCAGATTCAAAGTCATACACACATCCCAATTTTTATAGCAGCTTATCAACAAGAGCCAAACTATGGAAAGAGCCCAGATGTCCATCAACAGATGAATGTATAAAGAAGATGTGGTCTATACATACAATGTAACATTACTCAGCCATCAGAATGAATGAAATCTTGCCATTTGCACTGACATAGATGGAGCTAAAGAGAAAGACAAATACCATGTGATTTCACCTGTATGTGGAATTTACAAAAGAAATGAACTAAGAAAAAAAGCAACATGCCCCCGCCCCCCCCAAAAAAAGAAAAAGAAAAAGAAAAGAAAGGAAGAGGAAAAGAAAAGGAAAGGAAAGAAAAAGAAATGAAAAAGAAAAGGAAAGGAAAGGAAAGAGAAAATTAAAGAAGAGAAAAGAAAAGGAAGGAAAAAGAAAAGAAGAATAAAGAAAAACAGAGTCCTAACTCTAGAGAACACACTGATGGTTACCAGAGGGGAGGTGCATGAGGAATGGGTGAAACAGGTGACGGTAGGCACTAAGTAATTTATATTAGTGTTAGTATATTTATATTAGTATTTTATATTAATTATATTAATTTATATTTTTTATTTATATATATATATTATATATATTTATATATATATAATATATATAAAATATATATATATTTATTTATAAATTATATTAATTTATATTAGTATTATATATAAAGTAATTAAATTAGCACTCAGTATATTATATACCCGAAACTGTACATTCATATACTTAAAGAAAAAAGGATAATAACCACATGGATTACTACCATTAATTCAAGGTTGACCATGTATAATATTCTAGACAATATTTTGGCACAATGGTTACTACTTATAAATAAAGGAGAAAAGATGGCATAAAAATGTAAAGTATGTTCTGAAGTTCAGAAGGTGAAGAAATGCTACAAATAGAGGATGACAGCATTTAATAAGTAAGCGATTAATTTTAAGAACAAGGTTATGATTTGTAAAATAACTTGTGTCCATTAAATTTGAGTTAGTATAACTGATTTCTAAACTCTTAGTGAGAATAAAGATTCAAAAAGAAGGAAGACTGATAGACAATACTATCCAATAGAATGTTGTATGATGATGTAAATGTTATATTATCTGTGCTGTGCAATTCAGTGGCCACTAGCACCATGGTACTCAAGTGTGGTGAAATCTGCCTGCCCAAGAGATATGTCATTGTTGGTGTATATTATTGGTTGTCCAGAGGCACTAATTGACATCTACTGGGAGAAGTCAGGAATACTGTGAAATATCCTAAGGTGCACAGGGCATCCAGAACAAACTATAACGGGACAGCCAAATATCTCAAATATGCTAAGTTCAACAAAGGCTGAATTGACCACATGTGGCTACTGAGCATCTGAAATAGGTCTTGTGAGAATGGAGAACTTCATTTTAAATTTTAATTTGAAACAACTTAATTAAGATTAATTTAATTATTAATTTAATATCCTAATTTAGTGATTATATAGCTCTATTTGTATGTACATAAGTTATAACGCTATATACAATTAGCATAAATATAGAAGTAAGCTCCCCCCCCCCAAATATTTCCATTTAAACTAATGAGAACCTTTAAGGAAAACATCGAGTCTGAGGCTTTAGGATTGGGAAGTAAAGGAGCATAAAGAAAAGCATAAAAGGGAACGCCGACCCGGCTGGAGGGCCAGGGCAGGCAGCGCACAGGGGAGCACAGGAGGAAGCGCCAGGAAGGGCGCCCCTTTTGCAATCAGGGCAACTCACTCTCGCAGGGTCTCCACCCCCTTCTCCTTGGACTGCAGCTCCTGCTTCATCTGCGTCAGCTCGCGTTTCAGTCTGGAAAGCTGAAGACAAATGACATTTATTTTCTCAAAGAAAAGCTGTGGTGAAAATGACGTCGGCAGTTGTCCGCACTGTCACCTACGTTCCCGATGAGCTTACAACCGACCGGGTCGCCTCCCCAGTCCACGGATTTCCCTCCCGGGCTTACACCCAGCGGCCATCCCGGAAGAAGTGTCCCGCGGAGATGCGAACCTCCCGGATCCCCGACAGGCTCCTGCCTCTGCGGAACCGAGCACGCTCTCTTTTTCAAGGCACTGATTACCCATTACCATCAGCAAACCACGTCACGCTTCCGGCCACCGCTCTCTTTTTCAAGGCACTGATTACCCATTACCATCAGCAAACCACGGCACGCTTTTTTCACCTTCCCTCTGCTTACTGCTTAGATCCCGCCCTGCAGCGCTGTCGCTAAAAGCATGCGGTAGCGCCAGGGAAAGTCAGTCCCCTGAGCGCCACCGGCGGCAGCTTCCAGCACCTACTGCAGGCCCCAAGAGTCAGGCGCTGGGCCTGGCAGCTCCCACGTTTCACCGACGCCCCACGTGTGTTTCTCAGGTGCGCCAGGCTTTGAGAACCACTGCCCTGAGAAATTCGGGTTTCGGGAACGAGACACCAGAAGACCAGGCCTCGTTTCCAAGGTGTCTGCCACGCTTTGCTGCAATTGAGACACAACAGTCCCCTTTCCCTTACACCCAAGACGGGGCTGAAGAGATGAAACGGGGCGGCCATAACGAACTCCAGTGTCACTCGCAAGGAACGTCAGAACCTTCTGGTCAAACGGCACTGCAGGAAGGCTCTCCCTAGGAATACAGCAACCAGGGAACACCGGCAGATGCGAAAGGGGCCGACAGTCAAGGTTAGCATCCCACTGATAAAGGGAAGCAGTCCTTGGAGATCAGGGCCTATGGTCAAAAAATATTTTCAAATGGAAGTGAATCTTGCCCCATAACACTGAGATGTATACAAGCAATTTTTTGTTAGATGAGATAAGGTTTTAATATGAAATATTTTTCTTCCCATTAAAGGAGTAAATAAACCATGTTCAGTGACATTACACAAAAAAATACACATGGTCATCCCCCAATACAATGACAATATCCTGACCTCCACAGTTTCCACCCCAGACCCCCTGAAAAAAAGGAGAGGCTTCAGAGCCCTGGCTTATCATGTATCATCAATAAAAACTAAACTATACCAAGGGAAACAAAACACATACACAAAAAAATGGTGCTTCTACTCGTGATAAACACTCATTTTACTCACCCTATCCCGATGACTTGCTATTTCTGCTTTAATCTGAAGTGGATTGTATTTAGTATTTGTTGAACATCCTGAAAAGGCTATATAAATAAAAAGAAATATTTTATTCTACAAAGATCCTTTAAGATAAATAAATGTATTTGGACCAAAAAAATTCAGATCCATCTTATTGAATAATTACTCCTTAGTGTCAGACATACTAACTTATCACTAGCACTGCAATGAAAGAATTAACATTTCACCAACTCAAATTTCCTTAATAGTTGATTATTGGGTGATATTTGTTGGCAGATGACATGATTCTAAGTAATAAAAAAATTGAAAGAACCAACCAAAAAGGAAACAAGAAAAGCCCATACAGGGCCCCTAGGTGGCTCAGTCGAATAAGTGTCTGCCTTATGTCATAATTCCAGGGCCCTGGGATTGAGTCCTGTGTTGACCTCCTTACTCAACAGGGAGTCTGCTTCTCCTTCTCCTTCTCCCTCTGCTGTCCCCTGCATGTGCACGCAAGCTCTCTCTCAAATAAATAAAATCTTAAAAAAAGGAAAAAAGAAAGCCCCCAGAATCAAAGAACCAATAAGTAAATATAAACTTACATGATACAATGTTAAGAGACAAAAATTAACTGCTTTTCTATATGCTATTAATAAGTGGAAAAAAGTAAGTAGGATTTGAAATTAAAGTAAAATGTCATTTATATAATACCACAAAATATGAAATGCTTAGGAATACATCTAACAAAAGTTGTACAAAATCTTTACAAGGCGGCGCCTGGGTGGCTTGGTTAGGTGTCTGCCTTAGGCTCAGGTCATGATCCCAGGGTCCTGGGATCAAGTCCCACATCAAGCTCCCTGCTCTCTCTGCCTCTCTCTCCCTCTGGAACATATTCTTAACATGTGATCCAGCAACTGCATTCACTGGTATTTACCCAAAGAAGCAGAAAATTTATGGTCACAAAAAACCCACCAACTCAAAAAACAAACAAATGAAAAAACCTGCAAACTCTACCAAGGACATAATTTATAAATGCTGAAATATGAAAGCAACAAATATGTACTTCAGTAGATGAATAAACAGTGGTTCATCCAGACAATAAAATATTAATCATTGTTAAAAAGAAATTAGTCATCATGTTTTATAAAGAAAACCTTAAATGTAAAGAAGTCAATGTGAAAAAGGCTACACACTATGCAATTCCAAGTCCATGACATTCTGGAAGTGGATAAAGTATGGAGACAGTTAAATGATCAGTAAGGGGAAATAATAAATAGAAAGGATGTAGTACATTTTTAGAACAGTGAAAATACTATGGTACTGTAATGATGGATTCCGGCTATTACCCATCTGTCCAAACCTATAAAATATACAACACCAAAGTGGACCCTAAAATTAAAATGTGGACTTTGGATGATAATGACATGCTAATGTAGGTTCATGAACTATCACCAATGTGCCACTCTAGTCCATGAGGCTTACACAGGGAAGGACATGCATTCATAGGGGCACGTATAGGGGAAGGACCTGCATGTGTAGGGCCAGTGAGATATATAAACTTTTTGATGAATTTTGCTGTGAACATGAAACATATAAAATATAAAGTTGTATTATGTTAAGAGAGTTCTACATTAGCATGTCAGTATCCAGCAGATCTGAGGTCTTTTTTCCACACATAAACTGAACTTGAAGGATGCACATTTTAATTATTTGTTTTTGTTGTTGCTGCTGCTATTTTTAAAGATTTTATTTTTAAGTAATCTTACACCCAACATGGAACTTGAATCAAAAATCCTGAGATCAAAAGTCACATAGTCCAACAACTGAGCCACAAAGGTACCTCTATTCTCACTTGTTTTTGATGGATATCTAGCTAAAACATGACATAAAATCTAAATCTTTCTTATTTATTATTTCATTTTAATCCCAGCATAGTTATCACAGAGTTATATTAGTTTCAGAGGTACAATATAGTGATTCAACAATTCTATACATTACTCAGTAAGTGCTCATCATGTAAGTGTACTCTTCATTCCTCTGTTTCACGCATCTGACACCGTCCTCACCTCTGATGATGTTGGTAGTTCTACAATTAAGAGTCTGTTTTTTGGGTTGCGTACTTTATTTCATTGTTCGCTTTTTTCCCCTGAAATTCCACATATGAGTGAAATCATATGGTATTTGTCGTTCTCTGACTGGTTTAATTTGCTTAGCATAATACCCTCTAGTTCAACCCACATTGTTAAAAATGTCCAAATTTTTTTCTTTTTCATTGCTGAACATCATTCCCTTTTATTTATATATTACAAAACTTCTTTATCCATTCACTGTTGATGAACACTTGAGCTACTTCCAGAATTTGGCTATTCTAATAATGCTACAATAAACATTGGGGTGCATGTGCCCCTTTGTATCACTAAGTTCATATCTATTGGGTAAATACCTAGTAGAAGTGCAATCACTGGACTGTAAAATATTCCTATTGTTTGAAATTTTTGGAAAGAGCTCCGTACTTTCCGCCATAGTTCCTGTACCAGTTTACATTCCCATCAGCAATGCACGAGGGTTCCCCTTTCTCTAACATCCTTGCCAATATCGGTTGTTTATGTAATTGGTTTTAGCCATTTTGATGGGCATGACTTGGTATCTGATCATTTTGATTTACATTTTCCTAATGATCAGCAAAGTTGAACATCTTTTCATATGTCCATTGGGTCATACGTGTCCAATGTCCTCTTTGGAGACATCTGTTCGTATCTTCCACCCATCCTTAAGTTGGGTTTGTTTTATGGGTGTTAAGTTGTGTAAGGTACTTATATATTTGGATATTAATCTTTCATTGGGTACATCATTTGCATATCTTCTTTCATTCATTATGTTATCTTTTTAGTTTTGTTGACTTTTTATTTTGATGTAGTCACAACAGTTTATTTTTGCTCTTGGTTCCATTGCTAAGGCAACATCTACAAAGATGCAACTGCCCCTCATAACAATGTATTACTTAAAATATAACCCCCAGGAAATTTTACTAGTTACCTAGCACATTTAGATACAGCCTTAAGAAAAACAGATACTGCAATAGGCCTCTGGGGGAGAGGATGATATATGGCCTTAAAGCTGAGCAGCTGGGGATGCCTGAGAGGCTCGCTCAAGGCGGAATACTGCCTGCTTCATTTTTTTCTTATCTCCACCTTCCCCCAGGGGAGAGCACCTGTGGCTACTTTGGTAAGTCCTTTGAATGTGCTTGTTCAACTATGAACTTTATACTGCTTGTCCAGACGAATACTGCCCTCCTTCTTGTTTATCTACAAGGCATATAACTAACGTTTGACCTTCATCGACTCTTCTGTTGGGTACTGTTTCTATCTAATAAAAGCGAGACTATGAAGTTACTCGGGCAGCAGTCTTTTCGACTGTTGTCCCCTGCTCCCAATCTCTTGCAGCTGACTTGTTTATGCCTAATTCCTCTCCCGTTCGCCAACTGGAAGCGGCACAAAGAGGCTGGTACATCAAAGATCAGAGAAATAGCCTGCCCTTTCTTCTAGGATTTTTATGGTGCCCTGTCTCAAACTTAGGCCTTTCACCAATTTTGAGTTTATTTTGTGGTATAAGAAAGTGATCCAGTTTTCCCAGCACCATTCGTGGAAGAGAGTATACTTTTTCCATTGGATATTCTTTCCTGATTTGTCTAACATTAAGTGACCATATAGCTGTAGATTCATTTCTCGGCTCTCTATTCTACTCCATTGATCTATGTCTATTTTTGTGCCAGTACCATATAGTTTTATAACTATAACTTTGTAACATAGCTTGAAATCCAGAACTGTGAAAACCTCTAGGTTTTTTCCTTCTTTCTCAAGGCTGATTTGACTATTTAGGGTCTTTATGGTTCCATATAAATTTTAGAATTCTTTGGTGGTACCTGGGCGGCTCAGTCAGTTAAGCATCTGGCTTTGGCTCAACTCATGATCTATGGGTCCTTGGGTCAAGTCCCATGTTCATTCCCTGCTCAACAGTGAATGTGCTTCTCCATCTGCCTTTACCCTCTACCCACTCCACTCCTCATGCTCTCTATTGCACGTGCTCACTCTCTTTCTCTCTCGTACTTCCTCTCTCACAAATAAATAAAATCTTTTTAAAAATTTTAGAATTATTTCCTCTAACTCTGTGAAAAATGCTGCCGTTATTCTGATAGAGATTAAAACAAATCTATAGATTACTTTGAATAATACATGCATTTTAACAATGTTTGTTCTTCCAATCCATTAGCATGGAATGTTTTTCACTTTCTTTGTTTCTTCCTCAATTGCTTTCATAAGTGTTCTATAGTTTTCGGAGTACAGGTCTTTCACCTTTTTGCTTAGACCTATCTCTAGATATCTTCTGGTTTTTGGTGCAATTTAAATAGGACTGTTTTCTTAATTTCTTTCTGCTGCTTCATTATTAGTAATAGAAATGCAATGGATATCTACTCATTGATTTTGTATCCTTCAATCTTATGAATTCGATGATCAGTTCCAGTCATTTTTTAGTGGTGCCCTTGGGGTTTTCTACATGTAGTATCATGTCATCTGCAAATAGTGAAAGTTTTACTTCTTCCATACCAGTGTATGTGCCTTTTATTCCTTTTGCTTGTCTGATTGCTGAGACTAGGACTTCCAGCAATATGTTGCACAATGGTGGAAATCACTGCCTCGTTCCCAAACATAGAAGAAAAGTTCTCAGTTTTTCCCAAGAAAGATATTACTTGTTTTTCATATATGGCCTTTATTATTTTGAGGTATGTTCCCTCTCAACTTACTTTGTTGAGGATTTTTATCATGAATGGGTGTTGTACTTTGTCATATGTTTCTGCATCCATTGGAAACATCATATGGTTTTTATTCTTTATTATTCTTTACTTTATTGACATGATGATCACAATGATTAATAGGCAAATACGAAATCACACACTCTTATTCTAGGAATAAATCTTGATTGATTGTGGTAAATGATATTTGTAATGTATTGGTAAATTCAGCTTCCTAATATTTTGGGGTTATTTTTGATGTATGTTCACAAGAGAAAATAGTCTGTAGTTCTCTCT